CGTTTGTTGATGGGCACTTAGGTTGTTTCCAACTCCTTGCTATTGTGAACAAAGCTGCAATGAACATGGGTGTGCATATATCTGCTTGGATGTCAGCTAATATACGACATTTTCAAGGTACAATTTAGTTGTGGCTGAAAATATGTTACGTTCAGGATATTGAACGGGAGACTGAGATTAGGTGTGATCTCTCGGAATACTATGCCAAGGCGCAATGAAACGAAACAAAGAAAAAGACAAATTTAGACAAACCGCCACCATAAAGCAAACTTCCGCAATTGGGCTACCGACAGAGACTGCAGCGGCCGTAAAGCGCCGCCGGAAATCACGTGGCTGGTCTCTGCAGTGGTCGAGCTTGAAGGTTTCTGGACATGGCTGCCCCTGTCCAGGGCTCACGCGGTAGGGCTCTGGACCTCTTGCGTGCCCTGCCACGAGTTAGCCTGGCCAATTTAAAGCCGAATCCTGGCTCCAGGAAGCTGGTAAATGGCTGGTGGCGGTGCGGGGAACATGGGTGCTGGGAAAGGTGAAACTGCATTTCCTTTTTGCTCTCTGGGAGTCCTTGCTCTGGAGATCAGTGGATGGGTTTGCGGTAGCTGAACGCCAGTTTACCTTGACTGCACGGGGGAAGTTCTGCTTTTAATTAAGTTTACATTTGGAAAGTCGAATATATTAGTCGAAGAGCAAACTGGGAGAAAGTGGAAAATCATTCTTACTCAAAATCCGTTTTAAAATAAAGTAAATATATTTTTATCTTCGTTAAAAGATTTTGAATTGACATGTTAGGTGTCTAGTGGCTGAATATAGCTAAAAAGATTGAGTTAATGGACCGTCATTTAAAAAAATGGTTTGAATACAAAATTGTATATGTTGTATTTAGTTTATATACATTGTGTTTCACACATTCCTCTATTCACGTTGTATTTGATACGCTCATTCCCATACATTGTGTTTTATAAAATTAATCGTTATTTATCCATGCCTACTATTACCCTGTCTTTTCAGGTCCCCGCTGGCTCTTTCCTAAGTCTTTCACCCCTCCTGCCTACCATTATTCCACCTCTTCCCTCCCTTCCCCCCCTGGACTTTATACACATCTTACTAGTAATCTTTCTATTTTTACAGTAATCTTATGAAGTATTTGTTCTTGTAAGACTGAGTTAACTCAAAATAATGCTTTCCAGCTTTTCCCATAGTATGGACTATTTTTTAAAATCGTTGGTCCTGAGTGCTTCATAGTTTTACATCCTGTGAATGTACCACAACTTCTCAATCCATTTTTTTGTTGATGGACATTTGAGCTGTTTCCATTTTTGTGCTGTTGTGAATAACACCGCTGTGCCGAGTCATATGGAATTTCTGTTTTCAGCTTTTTGAGGAAATGCCAAACTGACTTCCAGAGTGGTTATACCATTTTACAATCCCACTAATAGTATGAGAGTTCCAATCTCTCTACATGTTCTCCAACATTTATTGCTTACTGCCCTGTTAAACTTTGCCACTGCTGCTGGGGTGAGATGGTGTCTCATTGTGATTTTGATTTGTAGCTCTCTTATTGCTAGTGATTTGGAGCATTTCTTCATGTGTCTGTTGGCCATCATAATGTCTTTGTGAAAGGTCTTTCTGTGTCTTTTGCCTATTTTGTAATTGGGTTAGAAGTAATTTTCTTGTGGAGACCTTGTAGGATTTTGTAAACTTTTGTTATGAGACCCATGTTTGATACGGCATTGCCAAATGTTTTTCCCAGTCATTAGGTTTTCTTGTCCTATTGGTAGAAATTTTTGATTCACACAGGGATTTAATCTTCAGAAGGACCCATTCATTGGCATTATCCTTTCCTGGTTATGCATTTCTGGCTGTATTTGCTAGTGGCTTTATACCATAGGCCAGGGCTTTCTAAGTTTGGTGCCATTTTGTCTCTTATGATCTACATGATTTTGGGCTTTGCCTCTAGGTCTCTGATCTACCTTGAGGAGATTTTTGTGTATGGTGTGAGGTGTGGATCCTGCTTCAGCTTTCTTCAGATTGAACTCCAGTTTTGCCAGCAGCATTTGTTGAAGAGTTTGTTTCCTATTTGGTAGGCTTTGTTTCCTTATGGAACACCAGCTGATTATAGGTAGATGGGTTCATTTCTGGGTTCTAGATTCTGTTCCATTCGTCTGTGTCTGTCATTGTAGCAGTACCAAGCTATTTTGGTCATTACAGCAGTGTAGTAGGTTTTGAGATCAGGAAGTGATATACTTTCCACTTCATTCTTGTTTTTCAGAAGTGCTGTGCTAATTCAAGGTCTCTTTCCCATCCTGGACCACCATTTTTAGAGAATCAATCCATAGCTTTTGTGAAATGACTGGAATTAAATGGAAATTATTTTCTTTAGAAGATTCTCTTAGAAGAAAATAATATATATGGATGATGAATAATTTTTTAAAATAATTATTTCAAAGCAAATTAGTTTTTTCTTGAATGAATGTTGGATAAACTTTTGTGTGAATGTTTAATTCTGTATTTCTCCCCCTCTTATAGTCTGTCATTAAGTTCTTTGCCCATATCCATCCATGGAACTTTGCCTTTGAGATGTATCTTGGACTTGTTTTGAATATTAGCTCAGAGAGGAAGATAATACAAAATGTGCATAGCTCTTGATGAGTACCTAAAACCAGTGTGCTGCACAACAGTACATGCCTTGTCAGCATTGGTTGGTTGCATGCATGACATAACAACAGCAGAATATAATAAAAATGCAAAATGTGAGGTTTTTAAAATTTAAGTTGCAATTTCAATGAAAGTTTACAAAGCAAATTTTTTATTTAACCATTCATAAGCAAATTTTGTCCTGTATCATTATTTTCAGATTCCACTTGTAATCAAACTCTTCCCACATCCTTCCTATAATTCTCTGAAAGACAGTTTTGAAAAATGCATCTATACTTCATAAAACTTCCATCTTTGCTTATAGGAGAGAAGACCACGAGGTCGGAGAAGAGGTAGAAAGTGTGGCAGAGGCCATAAAGGACAGAGGCAGAGAGGAACTCGGCCTCGACTCGGCTTTGAGGGAGGCCAGACTCCATTTTATATTCGAATTCCAAAATATGGATTCAATGAAGGACACAGGTGAGGTTTCTTTGTGCTTTAAAATAGAAACCCCTGATTTTGCACTGAGATCACATGAAGAAAATAACTGGGTAGAAATTTTAAGTTTGCTGTGAAGGAAATTTTTACACAATTTCCTCTGAACAGTAATCTTTTCATATCTGATACTGTAGCAGTGGTTAAGTTCAAAAGCTCTTGTATCTTGTAATGTACCATACACATTTATTTATTTTAATTCCCTATTGAGGTTATTTGGAAGGAGGAGTGGCATCCACTTCCGTAATAGCTTGCCTCTGGAAACCCTATGAACCTGGAGAGAGGATGAAAGGCACCCAAATGTTGAGGACTCTCCTTCATAGGGTCGCTATGAGTCGCCTGTGACTCGATGGCACTTAACAACAACAACAATTGAGGTTATAGAGGTCTTTGCTGATTATGGATTAATTTGCAAGACACTATATTCAAGACCAAATATGAACTAGCATTTGGTAATGAACTAGCCTGGGTTATTGTTAATTAAGGGTCACTGGTGAAGGATTTACATCTTAGAAACTGATGGAGGGTCACTGTGGTGAGTCAATTGCTATATAACCCTGTGCGTGTAGAGTTACCATAGCCTGTCTTCTGAGTTGTTTCTGAATGGGTTTGAACCATTAACCTTTTTGCCCCACTCATGAACTCTTTAGTTTGGATTGTTGTTAAGTACCGTTGAGTCAGAACTGTCCCATAGCTGACCCTTCAGTGGGTTTTCAGAGACAGTAAATCACATGGGAAGAGACTGCCTATCTTTTTCTCACAGAACAGCTGGTAGATTTGAAGCATGTGCCTTTTAGTTGGCAGCACAACTTCTTACCACTAAGCTACCAGAGCTTACTTTAGCTTGGATTTGTAGGGAAAAAAGATTAAATTTTGCATATAGACCTGAAAAATGAAGAAAATAATATCTGCTATTAGATCAAAGATTATCAATAATATACAAAAAAATACATGATTCCTTGTATTTCTATAGTCACCCAGTCTGGGGTTATAGTTGGTGGGGAATTACACTCTTGACCCAAAGACTCTGTAGCAGTTCAAGTCCACCAGCAGCTCCCTGGGAGATAGGTGGACAGTCTCCTTTCATGCAGTGTATAGCCTCAGAAAATTTGTTAGAGGGAAAGCTATAAGTCAGTTCCCGGCAGCTAGGAATGTATTATGACTTTGATTTCTGTTGATATACTGCTCAGTGAGTGAATTTAGAAAATGCTTACAGTAGTTACTATCTCAGTGAAACAACATAACTTAATTTTATTACCAGTGTTACTAAATAATAATACCTTTTTGAGTTGTATTCAAGACCTAGTGTTTTGATGGCTAAATGCTTAATTGCTAATTGAAAGGTCGGTCGTTCAAACCTTTTGGTCACTTTGCAGGAGGAAGATGTGATATTTGTTTCTGTAAGATTATAGTCTTGGAAACCCCATGAAGTGGGGGTATTTCCTCTCTGTTCTATAGGGCTGCTCTGAGTTGCTGTAAGTTGAGTTGTAGGATGACATCAAGGATGTTGCATATGAAGAAAGTGAGAGATCATGAAAAATACAGGGGGAATAAAAGACCAAAGTGGATGCCAGAAGAGACAGATCTGCTCTGTACTGTAGGGAAGCTAAAAATAATGGTGACAGGATAAAGAAAGAAGGGAACAGAATAAAAATATTCCTCAATAAGACAGTGTGATGAAGTGTTCAAAAACCTGGATGTAGAAACAATAATAGAAGAATCTACCCAGCATATCCTGGGCTGAATGAAGTGAAGAAAAAAAATTCAAGTCTCAAGTTTGTGATAATAAAGGATTTTATGGGGAAAAATTGAATTATGGGGGAAGTATCAGAAGAAGTTGGAAGGAGTGTACAAGAGTAACTAGACCAAAAAGAATTGGTTGATATTCAACCATATTAGAAGATAGTAGATGATCCAGAACCACTGGTACTGAAAGAAGTCGCCTGAGTTGCACTGAAGACATTACTCTAGGAAATGACAGAATGCCATGGGAAATGTTTTAGCAAATGGATACAGCACTGACTTTGCTCACTCATGAATGCCAGGAAATTTGGAAGACAGATGGAAGAGAACCATGTTTGTGCCATTCTAATGAAAGGTGATTAAACAGAATGAAAATTTTCAAACAATATACGCAAATAAAATCTTGTTGATAATTTTAAAAACAGCTGGAGCAGTACATCAGCAGAAAACTGCAGACATTCAAGCTGCAACCATTGCTGATATCAGATTATGTAAAGGCATAATTATGGATAACATTGTGAAGAATTCCAGAACACATAATTGTGCTTATATGGAACTCTACATAGACCAAAAAGCAGCCATTTGCACAGAATAAGGAGTGGTTAGCAAAGAATATTGTATACACTATGACGTCCTAGAAGAGTAAACAGATATATTTTGGAAGCCATGGAGCTTAAATACGCTTTAGAAGCAAGAATGATCAGACTTCATCTTACATACTTTGAGTGTTATCAGGAAGGGCCAATTTATAGAGAAAAAGACCATACTTGGTAAAGTGGATGGTCAGTGAAGAAGGGGAAGGCAGTTAGAGTGACTGATACATGACTCCATGATAATGAGTGATATATGACTGACCTGGCTCCAGTGCAGCAGGGATTGTGGATTTGATGCAGGATTGGGTGGTGTGTATAGGATTACTATGAGTGACAGTTGACTTGTTGACCCTTTAGCAAAAACAATGGATTGTTTTGTTTCAGGAGAGATTTATTCTGTTGAACTTAAGGAAAATGTAAAACAGTCCTTAATTGATTTGGATAAGTGACAAAAGTCTTCATTTGATTAAATTTTCTAACTATTACTTTCTTGTTTTTTAGCTTTAGACACCAGTATCAGCCCTTGAGTCTCAATAGACTCCAGTATCTTATAGACTTGGGTCGAGTTGATCCAACTCAACCTATTGACTTAACCCAGCTTGTCAATGGGAGAGGCGTGACCATCCAGCCACTTAAAAGGGATTATGGTGTCCAGTTGGTAGAGGAGGTGAGTCTGAATTAAATTTTTTAAGGTAGCATTGAAGATTATTTTTGTTTTCTATATATGTGGTCGGCATTCTACACTATTTGAATCCCTTTGATTGTCTTCAGTATTACAGTGTGGTCAACCGCATTATTCCCAGACGTGGTTTTAGAAAACCATGCTTACTTTCATCTTCGGGCTCTGTAGGGACTTCCTTTTTCATGGAATGCTCTACTCTATGTCCATATGGGTGATTCCTTTAGTTTTGATTCTCAGCTCATATCTCATACCAAAAGGTCTTTTAATGTCCTTTAATAAAGGAAAGGAGCCCTGAAGGCTTGGTGGATTGAGTTTTGAGCTATTATCCAGAAGATTGGTGGTTCAGTGCCCCACCACCCCAAGCCAGTCCTTGGGAGGAGGCAGTCTGTTCCCTAACTGTTTTTAGCTTTGAAAGCCATATGGAGCAAAATTAGGGTTGTTAGGAGTCACTCTATTGAGTTTGGTGTTGAGCTTATAAAAGGGATTGAGTCTCCTACCTGGGATGCAGTCTGTCTTTTGTTACTGAAGGCTTTTTTAAAAATTTTTATTATTTTTAATTATTATTATTAAATTTTATTAGTTTTAATGAACATTTACAGAGATTTTGGGTTCTCATTCATTCATTGTTGCACTGTTTTCTCTACCCTCCTCCCCAGTTCGTTCTTCTTCCCCTCCCCCGAATGTCTGTTTAATTGTCCAATTGCCATAGTGCTTGTCAAAGCCAGTTCTGATTAATCTCCTTTGTCAGTGTGTCCTTTGCCATTTCCTGTCTCTCCTCCCTGAAAGAGACTTCACCCTGATTCATAAGGAAAAGGGGATGGCGTATTCTCTTAGCTACTTCCTGCTGAAAAGGGACGCTGTGGGTTTCAGGGTGAAGATCTTCTCTCACTACTCTAAAGGGCCCCTTTGGCAGTAGGAAACACATAGGCTGTTATGGAGATTGATTTTGGAATTTAGATGCACTGTTATTAATTGTGCTTAGCCATACATGTTCATATCCTTGAAGATGTATCATGGAGGTGTTGCAACCTAGAAGACACAAATTTGACTAACAAGTTAAAAGTACATGAGTCAAAAATTAACAAGCAATAATATTCCAAGTAGAAGTTCTAGTAGTGGCACAAATCAAGTTACAGAGGGAAGGTGGTTCTTACAATAAAAGGCCTATAGACTAGCACTTTGTCTATTATAGTGTAGAGGTTAGGAACCACAAGATGTAGAGGCTCAGCTATGTCATTTATGGTTCTTAAGTCCTGGAGCAAATTCCATCTACCACTGGGCTGTTTTACAACTCAGAAGTTCACATGCAAGGTAGGGGTGAAGTAAGGAACTGCTTATGAGGTTTTCCGTCCATTCCAACAACTAAGAGATAGTAGAGAAGAATTGGGACCTCAGACGGCTTTTAGGACTAATTAGTAGGCTCTGTGTCCAGGAGAAAATGAATATACTTACCAGTAATGTTAATGCTCATCCACGGCTCTTCTGGGAGGATCTAAATCATTGAAGCGTCCTCCTTTGTTTCCAGCTGGGAGCTGGGGCCTGTCAGTCCTGTCTGCCACGAGGACCTGCTGTGGGCCACCTTGGCCAAGTGTCCTTCAGAGCCACACTTAAAGCAAGTGAGTGGGAGCTTCCTCTCTACTCCCTTGCCTATCTGTGGCTCTCGTCTGTGACACTGTCTACTGAAGTGGCCCAGCTTTCCACAGTGGAAGCAATTCTGACTTCCATGGTATATTTGCACAATGGAATACTATGCTGCATTGAAAAACAAGGAACTCATGCAATATTACTCAAAATGGTTGACTCTGGAGAACATTATGCTGAGTGAAATATCCCACTCATAAAAGGACAAATATTGCATGATGCCACTATTGTAGAATGGGACTGACCTCGGGGTTGGGGAGAGACTGAGTAACATAGGTTCAATAATGTATACTGCACTGAAACAGAGGAGGGAGAAAACTGTTTAAAAGAGATTTGTGACTAGGTATTTCTGTCATGACAGGAGTCTAGAGCGATGGCTACATGAAGTTTTTTTTGGCTGGCAGTGGGTTGGATTTCTTTCTTTTTATATGTGAACACTTCACATTTATTACCACATTTTAAATTTTTCATTGTCTCCTCTATTAGATGTTCCATGAAGACAGTTACTGTGTTTGATGCATTGCTGTATTTCAGTACTGGAAATATTTGTATATTAGAGTCACTCAGTAAATACTTGTGTTTTGTTTTGTTTTTTTAAATTTTGTGTGCGTGTACTGTCAAATCAGATCTGACTGGTACAGGAGGAGATTGTCCCTCCTTCCCCGGCAGAGCATCTGGTGGATTCGAACCGTGCACTTCTGGCATTGTAGTTGCAGCTCCTTGCCACTAGGCCACCAGAGCTCCCCAATAAATACTTGTGAAAGAAAGAAATAGATTGAGTCCAATTTTCCAATTTAGTTGCCACAGAGAAGATTGCTGCTGATAGGAACTGACCAAGAATTTCAGTTATGCTTTTCAGAGATTCTCTGGTTTTGCCTATGCTAGCCACACTGCTGTAGTCTACTGAGGACCTCTTGTTCAGGGAAAAGTGAGATTAATTTTTATCTTTATCACATAAAGTTGTGTTGGTAATTAAGAACACAGACACTGTGACTCAACTCCCTGGACTGGAATCCTTGCTTTGTCTGGCCTCAGATAGGCTTCTTAGCCTCTCTGCACCACTGTCCCCATGTGCCAAATTTGCATATTAGTAGAACCTATCATAGGGGTCTTAGGAGAACGTGTTGTTAACTGCTGTCTAGTCGAGCATGACTCATAGTAACCCTATTAACAAAAAACCTGAACTTGTTTTATAACTTCTCTAAGTTCATAGAGTTTCTAGAGGCATGTTGTTTAGGAATTGGATGCCAGTCCTGCTTCTGAGCCTCTTTCAATCTGGGAGCTCCACCAAGCACTGTCCACCATGGGTAACCATTATGGCATTTGACATACCAGTGACACAGCATTCAGTATCACAGCAACCCCAAGTTACCTCAGTACAGCGAATTGACAGACCACTTAGAAGAATGTTCATTCTACACACAATTATCACAAGGAGAACATAGTTTACTATTTATGAAGCACTTTGAGTGCTGAGCTAAGAATCCATGAAATAAATAAAATAAAAAATATGGTTGAAAAATCATCCCTGTCTAGAGAGATTGAGAATTGGCAAAATGAGTGGCCTAAATAAGATTTAAAACACTTGATAGCAAGGGGAAAGGTCTTGTGTGAAAAACAGTGAATATGAACTTTGTGTGTAAACCAGTATAAAATAAAATTTAAAAAAAAAAGAAAAGGAAAAAACCCCCACTTGATACAAGTTCAAAACAGAGGTACTTAAGAGGTACTATTATGTTGCAGCCATTTTGGAAGAGAAAGCATGTTTCTTAAAAGATAGCTTGCTAAATTAATATACTTTTTACCCAAATTATGTACTAACAGACTTTGTGTTGGAATTTCACAGGGTGCTGATACCTTTATGGCTAAAGTTAATATAGAAGTACAGATGGCTTCAGAGCTTGCCATTGCTGCGATTGAAAAAAACGGCGGTGTTGTTACTACAGCCTTCTATGACCCCAGAAGTCTGGGTAAGCTCCTTATGCAGCTGTTCTCTCCCTTCTAACTTCCTGCCTCCTGCTTTCTAATTAAGTAGTGAACAACAAATTGGTAGTTCTTGCTTAATTTACATTGATCCCATGGGTCATTATAATAGAATAAAGCATGTACCTGACAGATGGTGACAGAGCAGCCCCTCCCCTGAGCTCCAGACCTGCAGCTGCCTGCCCGCCTCACGTCTCCATTGGATTATCTGGTGGGTAGCTCACACTCAAAATTCCCATTTTCATCTCGTTCTTCTCTTTGTGCATTCTTCCCCATCTCAGTATGTAATTTCATCTTTCTGGGGTTTTTTTTATAAAAAATTTAGTCATCCTGGCTCCTTTCTTGTTCAAACCCTGATAAATTTTGTGAGCTCTGTCTTCAAATGTGTCTGGAATATGACTGCATTTGATCACATGAAAGTGCCGCCAGCCTATGTCATCTGAATTTCAGGAATGCTTCTTATCTGGCCTCTCTGTTCTGCTCTTGCGTGCAGTGTAATTACACAGAAATGTCCCATTTAGAGTTTATACTGTCCTCTGCCTTAAATACCCAATGGGGATCATCTGCATGTGAGGTTGCATGTACTGGGCCACTTCTTACCGCTCCCCCTCTTTGCCCTGCTCTTTCAGGCTTGTCACTGGCCATCTGCCCTATCCTCTCTCCATATCTGCTTCATGCCATTTCAGATCTTTGCCCAAGTATGCCTCTCTGCCTGGAGAATTTTACCTAGAATCCTCATGGCTCTAGGCTTTTCTCTTCCAGGCCTCTAAAACATATACACTCCCAACACAGGACATACTCCAACATTATACACACCTCAGCACCACATAAACCCCCAGCACAGTACACACCCCAACACTACACACACCTCAACACCACACAGCTCCACAATATAGTACACACTCCAACACCACACAACCCCAACACCACAAACTCAACACCACACACACTTCAACACCACACATATCCCAGTACCACACACTTGAGCACCACACATACCCCAACATAGCATACACTTCAGCACCTCACAAACCTCAACATCACACACAATCCCACCACATTCTTCCTCAGCATAGCACACACACACTTCAACACCACACACAACTCAATACCACATACACCCTCAACACCACATACACCAGCACAGCACCCACTCTAATACACATACCCCAATACAACACACATTCAAACACTATACACACCTCAGTACTACGAAGATCTCAACACCACATACACCTCAACATAGCATGCACTTCAATACTACACATACCTCAGCATTACACTCTAGCACTACACACATCTCAACACCACACACACTTTAACACCACGTACTCTCAGCACAGCTCACACTCCAACACCATATACACCCCAGCACCACACATACCTCAATACCAAGCATTACCTCAGCACAGTATACATGCCAACATTTATACAACTCAACACCGCTTACATTTCCAACATAGCACAAACTTCAACACCACCTCAACTCTTTACACAGCTCAAAACTACACACACTGCCATCATAACACAAACATTTAGCTATACAACAAAGAAAATTCTTCTAAGTGGTACAGCATTGGCCTGTCAGTTTGCTGTACCAAGGTAACTTGAGGTTGCTTTGATGTTGAACTCTGTGCCAATGGTGTGTCAAATTCCATATGGTAACACATTGTGAACAGTTTTTGGTAGTTGTTGTTGTTATGTGCCATTGAGTCGCTTGCGACTCATAGCGACCCTACGTACAAAAGCTCTAAACGCTCTTCTATCCTGTGCCAACCTAGCCATCTCAAAACGCACTTATTCCCACCGCTTCAGTCACAGAATCGATCCATCTCATTGAAGGTCTTCCTCTCCTTTGCCGCCCCTCCACTCTGCCAAACATGATGTCCTCTCCAAGGACCAGTCTCCCCTTGCAACATGCCCAAAGTATGTCAGACGAAGCTTTAGAATCCTTGACTCCAAGGAGCACTCTGGCTTTACCCTCTCAGGACAAACCTGTTTGTTCTCCTAGCAGTCCATGTTATATTCAACACTTTTCTCCAGCACCACAGCTCAAAGGCATCAATTCTCTTTCTATCAACCCTATTCACTGTACAACTCTCTGATGCATAGCACGTAATTACGAAGACTATAGCCCGGATCAGGCGCACCTTAGTCTCCAGTCTGACGTCATTGCTCTTCAGTACTCTTGAGAGGTCCCTCATAGCCGACTTTCCCAATGCAATTCATCTCTTGATTTCCTGGCTGCTGTTACCAAGAGTGTTGATTGTGGATCCAAGTAAACTAAAACTGTTAACTATCTCAATCTCTTCACCATCTATACTATGCTGCCAGTTGGCCCAGTAGTGAGAATCTTTATTTTCTTCATGTTGAGCTTCAATCCATATAGGAGGCTGCGGTCCTTGATCTTCTGCAACAAGTGCTTCAGTTCCTTCTCAGTTTCAGCAAGCAGGGTTTTGTTGAGCACCCAAATTAAGACAGGCTTGGAAGCAGGATTGGCATCTACTTCCTAAACAACATGCCGTTGGAAACTATGGACATTAATGAAATGATGATAGCCATAGAAGGTGGTTTAGATCCTTTGTTCATAGAATTACTATGAGTCATGTCGTACTTCATGACACTTAACAACAAGAAACATACAAACAGTACATACACATGTTCATGAAATCATAAATGTGAGTGACACACTAATGCATTTTATATATATATCTCAAGGGTGCTTTAGGTAGAATATTAAATGATTTAGGAAGTATTAAAAGAAGATGGGAGAATATGCTGAGTCACTGTATCAAAAGAAATTGGCAGACACAGAAGAATTTAATGAAACAATATATGAGCAAGAGCCTATTGTGCTGAAGGAAGAAGTTCAGGCTGCTTTGAAGGAAATAGCTAAAAATAAGGCCCCAGGAATAGATGGTATACCAATTGACATATTTCAGCTAACAGATGCTGCCGTGGATGTGCTCACCAAGTTGTGCCAAGAAATCTGGAGAACAACCACTTGGCCAACTGACTGGAAGGGATCTGTATTTGTTCCCATCCTAAAGAAGGGTAACCCAACAGAGTGTGGAAACTGTAGAACAAGATTATTGATTTCACATGCAAGCAAGATTCTACTGAAGATTATCCAAAAATGACAGGAACAGCACATCAGCAGAGAAGTGCCAGAAGTCCAGGCTGAGTTTAGAAGGGGTCATGGTACTAGGGATATTGTAGCTGATGTTAGATGGATCTTGGCTGAAAGCAGGGAATACCAGAAGGATGTTTATCTGTGTTTCATTGACTATGCAAAGGCGTTTGACTGTGTGGACCATAACAAACTGTGGCTGACTCTGAGAAGAATGGAAATCACAGAACACTTGATCATACTAATGCGAAACATATACTTGGACCAAGAGTCAGTCGTTAGGACAGAGCAGGGTAACACTGCATGGTTGAAAATTGGGAAGGGTGTACACCAGGGATGTGTCCTGTCTCCATACCTTTTCAGCTTGTATGCAGAACAGATGATTTGGGAGGCTGGGCTCTATGAGGAGAGATGTGGGGTCAGGATTGGTGGAAGATTTAGCAACAATCTTCGTTAAGCAGATGACACAACCGTGTTTGCTGAAACTGAGGAGAACCTGAAGCGCTTGCTGCAGAGGGTCAAGGACTGCTGCCTTCAATATGGATTTAGGCTCAATGTCAAGAAGACAAAGATTCTCATCCCTGGACCAATTGCCAGCATCAGGATGGATGGTGAAGAGATTGAGATTGTTCACAGCTTTAGTTTGCTTGCCTCCACAGTCAACACTCTTGGCAACAGTAGCCAGGAAATTAAAAGATGTATTGTGATGGGAAAGTCGGCTGTTAGGGACCTCTCCAGGGTACTGAAGAGCAATGGTGTCTCTCTGGAGACTCTGGTGCGTCTGATACAGGCCATGGTCTTTGCAATCACTTGTTATGCATCAGAGAGTTGGACAATGACTAGGGAGGATAGAAGGAGAATTGACGCCTTTG